TTTTTAGGGAAAGAAATCAAACTTAATATACTTAAGAAACTAATAATAATGCTCTGAACCCTATTGATTAATATCTATATCTAATATATTAGTTATTATAATCGCTCTTTGGCATGAATTTGCGGTATAAATAAGGGTTGACATTTTTCCTTTTGAACAGTAAAAATAAAATTTAAGATTAAAAATGTATTTAATTTCTGAATTTTTTTTAATTTTTTCTTTTACTCTTGAATTTTTTTTAATTAATTTTACTCCCAAGATTTTTGTCAATTTTTACTTTTAATTTTAAATTTTTTTCATTAGTATTTTGGCTATGTTGTCAAAAAATATTTCATGTATAAAAATTGCAATGATTAAAATCTAATGAATTTTTTTCAAAAACTAAAAATAAAAATTTAATAACTAAAACCATATTTAATGATACAATTTATTTAAGTGGATTACCAGAAGTACTCAAGGAATACATGAAAATGCCATGCTATTAATTTGTAATGCATTATTCCCTGCAACAATTACCCCTAAGCCATAACTAATATAGATAGCCTCAACTAGCTAGTTCAAATTAACACCATCAAAATTCAAGTAAAACCATAATTGAAATGAAAAAAAAAAAACAGAAAGGAATAGAATCACCGCAAGTACTCGAGTTGCACATTCTTTGTGATCACACCATTAAAATAGAGTCATATGGACTCAGGTTCGATGGCTGCAACTGGGGGGAAATTAGCGAACCAATGTCCCATAACATGTTCTTAAACAAAGATTCTTGATTAGATAAAATTTGTAGTATACTACACTACAGAAGTCATTGTATATTAGGAATCACGTTTGAATCGGGTATTAGAATGTCCCTATATACCTGTAGTTGGAAAACAAAAGTACATATATACCCATCTCCCGAATCTAGGTCCACCCGAAGAGTAACATCAGTGTTCATCCATATTGTGTACGTAACTATAATTAGTATCCAAATTAGACTCATTATTTACACTATTGTCTTAAAGATGAAATTGTTAGATGATGAGTAACTAATGAAGTTCTTTGGCAATCCAACTTCAAGAACGATCTTGTAATGACAGTACTGTGACACAGCTGCGACAATATGAAAGATGCTAGCTAGACGATAATTGTAAAGAATTAAACTTTTCAATTTTGACATATAAGAAGTTAAAATAAAATTTGTAAGTTGAGCTGAAGGAATATAAGTATATAGTATTAGTTTTGTTAATTAATATAATAAATAGATGCAATTAGATCAGGACAGATTGGATATTATTGTTGTATAATAACTAACGATGAAGATCTTCCCCAAGGGCAAGGACAAGGGTGGTAAATTAAGAAATTATATTTGAGGCACGCGAGAAGTGTGACACTATAGATTGTCGGCAACTGCATTAATCCATTATTATGTTTGTATGCATGCATATATGTTTGATCTTAACCTGGCCAGTGAGCATATATAATTGAAAAGCACAAGTTAAAAAAGAGCACCAAGAGACAAGCGATTTAGCATGGACATAGACATATGGATGAATGGTACTAGGCAATTAGGCAACTCACAATCACCCTGGATATCCTGTTCTACACACAAGTCACGTTCATCATCAATATCATGCATCTACTTCTTGTCTTTCTATTCGTTAGACTTTTCTGAGTTCTGACCTTAATCAAGAGTCGTACGCGGGGACTATATTAATTAAAATGCATTGCATTATTTGGCACTTTAATTTTTTGGTTTTAAGAAATAAATATTGTTTTTTAAAATAAGGTAGTTAATTAAATATGCACCAACTATTATCCAATGATTATATATACATATCATTAATTAGGATTATCAGATATATATCTAGACGTGTCCCCAACTTGCGCCATTCGACTATGGTTGAGGTCAAGAAGGGCCAAAGTATCCAACCTTAGTCCAGATCGATCTACTTGCAAACCTAGGTTAACCTAATTGTTTGATCCTTTCACCTAACACGTGCCATATATACAACCTAATGACATACTGTTAGGGCTATTTACGGTTCAGATTCTTCAAAAGACGGAATATTGGAACCAAACCAATTTATTCTATAAAAATGTTCAATAACCAAATAGTGTTTTTATAAAGTGCATTGGTTCATTTTTTCTAAAAAACGGGTTAGATTTTTTTAAAAAATGGATGGATCATATGTGGTTCAATTATCTATTGTATACTCAGATGTGACTTATACACATGTGATTTGTTTTTTTTCCAAAAATCAATCCAAACTGAATCACTTCATAAAAGTATGGGTCAATTTTTGTAAACAGGTTTGATTAGATTTTAAATATTGTTTGATTCGGTTTGTTTTCGTATCCTAACCTATTATGTGTATATTTAAATATCAGCTTAAAATCATGTTTAACAAATAAAATGTACATTCCAATATAAAAAATAAAAAGTTGTGAGTGTATTTTTTTTCAACTCCAATTAAATTAAATTTAACTGATTCCAAAACACACTATATATATTTTAAAATCTTAATTCACTCGGTATAGGGACTTAGATTCCCATCCAAATCGATCATCTTTGCTTACCAAATTTATGTGTCAACATCTAATTATATCCTTTTTATTTTATAAATAAACAAAATATTATTATATTTGAATTTAAGTCTTTTAGAGATTTAGTCTAACTTAAAAGAAAGCAAAAGTTCAACACATACACGGAATATCGTAGCAAAAATTACACAGCATTAATTTACTTAAGAATGTTTTGTTTTTCTATCGGCAAATGTTACTAATTTACTTAAGAATGTGAGATATATCATGTAATTTGTATACTCTTTATATCATGTTAAAAATATTTTCACAACCCAATTTGACTTATTTAATTCATTAAGTCAAATTAAATTAAATATATAAAGTTTAATTTAATCTTACCTATCAAATTATTAGATCGAGATAATTTTAATAACTCTAATTTTTAAAATAGATTGTAACTTTTTTCTATATATATTTATTTTAGAAAATATCACTCCTTTCATTAGATTCCTAATCTTTCATTTCAAAAGAAGAAGAAAAATATGTTAAAACATAATTTTTCTTATCGAATAATTTTTGAGTTTTTTTTTAACTATAGCTTCCAAATCTTTTGATTTTTTGTATTTAGGTCCTAATTAAGTGTAGGTTATTTAAATTTTTTAAAAAATGAAACATTAAAAACTAAAAATTAATCCTATGAGATATTAAAATCTATTTAAAAGATCAATCTCTAAAAAAAATACTTTTTTTTATATAAAAATTGATTAAGGATTGAATTCCTAACTACATCCCGATCATTCCATGTCTTGTTGGTAAATACAAATCTAAAATCCTTAGGACCAACAAATATTTTATACCGAAAAATAAAAGAGAAAATAAAATAAACTTTATAAAAAGTTAAAATTAATTTTATAAAAAATTTCTAATATAAACTTTACAAAATATTTTTTATTTATAAACTAGTTTTAGTTTATAAAAAATAATTTTACCTATTTTCTTAATATTTATAGAGAAATGTATCTAATTGTTTATTCCAAATTCGAAAAACATCCCAATAAATAATAATTTTCTCAACCAAGTATATACCAATTAACCAGCAACTTTTGTGTTATGTCACGTCGTATTGGTGGAGGTTGAAATGCATAACATCATATTTAACTTCCAATATTATTCTTACTGTAATTTTGATTAATAAATAATTAGCTATTACGCCGCGTTTAGTATAACATCACGGCAAATTGATACATTACAGTTATTTTTCTTCATAATTTGGGATA